ACTTTGGATATGTACAGTTCTGTAAAATGTTCAGTGGAAATTGTTAGAAATAGTTTGGTTTGTTCAACTTTGAAATCGTTTTTTGGTATACATTTTAAAGTCAGAAATAGGAGTCTCAGCGTAATTCCGTTACCATGGAATTGCCTTTATGACTATGCATTAATCTCTAAAACACACCGGTTTATTTCATTATCTCAAGGTGAAGAAAGCACTTAGTTATTCTTGTCCAATCTGTCACTGCTGCTGTTGTTGGAGCGGTAACACTATAGTCCCCTGACTCCATGCAAATGCAGGAACTATTTGATGGGGATACCTTGGGCTGTGAGCACTTGTCTCACTGAGGACTCTGCACTATTTTCCAGTATGCAGGTTATGAGGTTTGTCCCACTGTTTTGTTTGCCATAGCACAGTTTCCCCTCTAAATAGGCCTTGAGAAAATCTGCTGACACAATGGAAAGCACCAGAATGGAATAAAAGATGCATGCATTGAATATATCTCCTACTACTTTGTATTGGTTTTATACTCTGTCAGGAGACTCAATTAAAGCTACAAAGTATGCTGTCCGGTAGATAGTAGTACGGTGATTCCTACCAGCCTTTAATATTGAGCCAATGTCAAATAATCTGTAGTCTGTTTCTATTGAGGCCTACTTTGCACCACTTTCTATTGAACAGCCCACGCAATGAGAGGCAGCCCACCCCACTGAATGAAACATCTCCCAAGCATTCATATCTGGATTGCTCTTTTCCACATCATTAACTTTGACACCCTCAAATTACCTCTCTGTATTAAAAACCAAGAAAGAGAATGAGGAAAAAATAGACAATTAAATTAGGTAAATGAAAACTGCAGAAACTCGTGTTTTTCTCTCATTGTTCTGCATTAAACGAGTGTAGACGCTGCCGCGCCCTAATGTCCACCATTAAACAGTAAACTACAATTACAGAATAGGAGCAGCATCCTTCATCTTTCCCCGGGTGGCCATTGGTCATGTTGCACCCTGCAGCCGGGGGGGGGGATGACGAGGTGCATTAAATGTCAGTTTTCAAGGCAAACAAAGGAGGAACAGTTAAAACTATTAGCTTCCCGTAGATGGCCTACCGCTCAAATAGATATTTGGTAACAGCGGGGAGTCAGGCACTGCCAGCGAGCCGGCTGCGAAATTGAATCCAAGCAGATTGATTCAGCGGCGTCGGCGGGAGAGCTTCATTAGCTCTTAGCTGTCCATTAACGACTAGCTCTTCTCTCCGGCAAGTTCTTAGGGGTCACACACCGCCTTAGCTCTGAGCGGCGGTGTTTACCGTATTTAAGATGAGGGGAGAGACAATTATACCCTGCCACGCTCCCCCCCCCCATCCCCCCCAGGCAGGTAGAACACCATTAAGTGGAGGCTGAGCACTCAAGCTGTTAACCGCCTTGAGAAAATCACATTTCGCCTCACCAAATTCAAAGGAATCGTCCCTACCACGACAAAGAAGATGGGCCCATATAATAAGCCAACATTGTCCTTCCCTTCACAAATTAAACGGCCTTACCATATTCTATTGTTTTCTCTCTTTTGTGATGTATTTTTTTTTTTGGAGACCTTTCTTATCTTGTATCTAGCTGGTGAATCATGAAGTGTTTGTGTGCTGGAGTTTTGCCTCCAATTTAAAAGCAACAGGGTATGAGTTGTCTCCCGCTCAGCAACATGAATACGCTAAATGAGCTCACTAGAGTCTGATTACCGGCTCCCTCTAATTTCAAAAGGCTCTTCCCAGACACTTTAATTAGTTCCTTAAGTGCAGAGAGGGAGAGCGACTACTCAGTGACAAATCTCTGCCTCCGAGGCTCGCCTCGCATTTGAGACAAATGCTGATTTTAGATGATGACGAGAGGCAGTAAATTCCAAATCTGGTATTTGCAAAGTGCCACAACGTCTAACATTTAGGCTCCCACGGTTAAAGCCAGGGATATTGCACTCTTCTTCAGTGTTATTACCATCAGAAATCTCCTTATAGTAAATCAGATTTGTATTAATTGCGGATATAAATTTGCATTCACTTGAAATACATGCTCGTTTAAGACTCCAAACAGGTCCAATATTGGCTTGTCCGCCGAGTATATTTGCATCCAATTGGATATTGTGGGATTTATCTATGTCGGTTTAATTTTTCTAATAAATGTCTTGAAATTACGACAATGAAGTAGATGCTGGGACTTCTCGCTACTATAGCAGAGTTTATAAATCTGATCTCTGTTGAATTAGCTCTCAAAGAGAAAGCACGGGCACTAGGGCCTGGGGAGATTTGTACAAATTCATTATAGAAATAGCCTTATTTAGAATACCTTTCTCTTGAGATTGTGTTTGTCACTTATCATATCGTCAGCTCTTACAGTATATGGGTAATGACAAGGTCAGCAGCACTCATATGCTCACACTCTTAGGCATTGAGTTGAAAACCTCCTCCACGTACAGTGCTAGTCATGTAGACTGTCTTCACCTGTAGAGAATGCCTGTGTCATCCTGTCTCGGCCTCTCTCTAGTCCAGTCAGCAGTACTGTATGGCAGGCTGATGAAATCCAACAGGACAGGGAGAAATGCTGTGGAGTTCAGCCTGAAGCAGGGAGAGAGCTAGGTGCTAGGTGCTATAGGGAAGGTTGTGTTGTGTCCAAGATGGATACAGTACATGTGGGGGCAAGAGTTTTTAGAGCATTAAAGTACATTTGACAATTCAAAATAGAGCTGCCTGTGGATACTTCTCAGAAGTTTAGCGCTACCCGAAAGTTTGAGAAGACCCATTTGCAGTACTCATGTGCGTTGGTAAAGGCCCTCCGGCGAAATAGTGAGAGAGCAAAATAGAGAGCTTTTCTCTTTTTTCCATTCGTATAAAAGCTGGATCGACTGACCTTGAGCATCTAAAGAGCTGGGCGGCAGAGAGAGGGAGAGATGACTTTCATTTATTTATGTTTAATGCTCCGACTGAAAGATCGGGTCGGACCTCGTTTTAGACCACTTAACGCTTGGGGGGGGGTTCGGCTTCAGAGGGGGCATGGGGTGTCTCCATTAGAGAAGGCCATCTCCTGGCCCCCTCTGTCCCCACTCTGTCCCCCCTCCCAAACCCTCAAGGGGAGAGAGGGGGAGACAGATGGCATTCTAATACCTCTCTGGCTAAATTCTAATGCTACTGGAACTAGAGAGGCTGGAGAATATGGACATTTTGGATGGGATTCAGAGGCAATTACTACCCACCTGCAAATTAGAAATTCTCATTCTCAGTAACAGGTTCCCTGGGCAGCGTCCCCTTATATTTTTGTTATCTGCTGCTGATGGTTGGTGAGGAGGCTGGGGCGTTTTCACTCAGGAGTTGTTAGTGAGGAATAGTTAGAACGGGTTGGTATTGCTACAGAGTTTTGGTGGAAAGTTGGCTCTTGCCAAAGGCCGCAGGGGCCAATGCCAGCCTCGCAGACCCCGGTATCACAGCGCCATCTCAAGGCTGGCAAAATGGTTGGCACCCCCACTGATCAACCTGGCATGGCAAACAGGGCATACACTGCACCCTCGCAGCCCCCCATAAAGCCCAGTGATCAACACAGAGGGGGACTGATAGACGCTGGTGGGAGTGGATAGCCCCTAATGAAGGCTTCACCAAGGTCTCTCTGTTACTGCCAGCTGGGCGCTCGCAAAGGCATCGTTCACACACACACTCTTTGTCGACCCATACAGCTGGAGCGCTGCGGAAAAGGAGAATTAGTGGGGGAGAGAGAGAGCTCTGAAGCGCTACGATTTAGCCTGATTAATCTTGTAGGGGAAAAATAGCAAAGTAGAAAATGGATCCCATTTGTAAACCCAATGTTTTTACTTTGGACTTCTATGAAGTGCTATGAAGTCAATGCAAGCTTTCAGCTCAAGAGGAAAGGTCGCTGGAAAAGCAGACATTCTTATTGGTCATCTGCCTTATTGGCCAGTTTGTGATTCTCAACAGTGAGAGTCATCACCCCATAGAGATGCATATAATACTAGAGTGGCTGATGCCATATTGTATTTCTATGGATCAGTCCCACTGTCAATTATCTTTATCTCGCAGCATTCTGAAACCACGCCACAGCACTGTTTTGTAGGATGACAACACTCTAGCCTCCCTTGGCCCCTGTGTCGCCCCCGCAAGAAAACACAACAGTCCCCCCTTTCTGACAACCGCAATTAACGTCTACTCTACAGTCTCCCTCTGCAATGGAGGACTGAAGCTGAACTGAATTGGCCAGGCTTTAAGTATCCCATCCAGGCATACAGCAGACAGTCAGGCAACTCTCTGGGGCGCCTCCCTGGAATCGTCCGGTTGCTGCAGGCAAAAGTCGTCCCTAGGAATTTTTCTGGTGGTTCATCAGCATATTCCCTCTCTCTCGTGTGTGTGTGTTGCCCTTGCCGGTGACATGGAGCCCCAGGAGATGACATTAGCAGGGAGTGGAGGAGCGGGCCAGTAGGTATTTAAGGGCATCCTTGTCTCCTAGAATCTCCCTCAGTTCACCACACCAACGCCTGGGCCTGTGTTTACTTGGGACTGTGTGTCCACGTTGTGGACAAGATGGGACATGACAGCAAAATATGCAGTGTAGCCTCTGTTTTGAATGAGAAAAGGGTTGTTTTCTTGACTTGGCATTATACAGATGTCGCACTGTTTGTATGCAGACTAGGTTTCATCCCTGCGGCCTATCTTGGTTTCATGAGGAGATGTTCTGGATTGCTAGACTAATGTTAAGAACGACCAGAGCAGACCTGGGTTTAAATAGCAGGCTCAATAAAATCCATCAAAGTATTTCAAATAAAACTAATGTTAGTTGTAAATGGGTACGAACCAGTTGTGAGAAGTGGAACATTTCAATATGAGGCTTGATTACTGTATGTACTTAGCGTATCGCTAACTGTGTCGCCATAACCTTCCGGTGTTTTCCCTTGTGGTCGATTCCAGTAAACTGACCTTCTCGTCTCTTCTTTCTATTGTGTTTGGTATGAAACCAGAAAACTGGCCAAGAAGCGCAAGGAGACGCTGAGCAGCACACGGCAGGAGATGACAGTGATGGTGAACTCCATGGACAAGAGCTACACGGAGCAGGGCACCAACTGTGACGAGGCCATTTCCTTCATGGACACCCACAGCCACACACTGAACGGGAGAAGTGAGTGTCCAACACCAGGGCATTGTGGGTGGGTTGGTGGGTGTCTTGGGAGTCTAGAGGGCCTTTCACACTACTGAGCTGAACCCAGCCGAGCCAAACCAACCTATACTGAGTTGGCCTTGTTAAACATTACCCATAGTTGTAGGAACTGAAATGGAAAGGACAATGGGAAATGAAAACCATATTAGAGCTAACACAGCAATAGCGTGGAGAGGCTATAGGGACCATAGAGTACCACTGGCACATTAGAGCCATTTCTTTCAATTCTAAACCAATTCTGTTTTTGTCAATGATCAAGTCATGTGACAGGCTCTTGCAAACAAAATAACGTTTATACAGTTTTTGTTTACTTATTAGGCAACTCAACCACAATTTGCAGATACAGCGTCTAAATAAGGACTTATCGGTCTCAGATCTTACTTCCTTAATTTTCCAAAGCTGTCCAAATGCTCTTAATCATTGTTTCTGATCCTGAGCCTTCCTAAAACCCTGCTTACCTAATTATCCATCTCTTTCCAGCCTTTTATTTCCCTCCTATTGCCTCTATGAGGATCCTGTGTTGACACATGGACAATGGCTCTAGGTCCTACAGGTCATATCCCTTGTGTGCCCCCATCAGCACTAACCCCTATGGGGGCAGTAGATCCCCCAACCATGTCCCACGTTTCCATCCCTTCTGGCCTTGCTTCTCACCCCAGAGACAGCTGGCCCTGGCTGGGATACAATCCCCTAATCCTCCCCACCAACGGTGGTCCCCAGGCCCAGACAGAGTCAGCACCTACAGCTCTGCATGCTGGGTCAGCAGGTCTCATCACCATATGATATTCCCCTTTTACCCCCCTTCGCATCCACATGCCCCCATCCCTCAGATATAAGACATTAAGGCACCCCTTATTATGATGATATTTCTTAGACCTTATATCTCTGTTTCTGGAGACTGGAGGCTAAGTAAGTCACAAACCCTGAAGACAGCGTTTTCTGTCTTTCTTTCAACTCTGAAGGTTAGGAGGTGACAGGGTGACTAGGCATGTTTCTCTCCCCTCACGGCCACGTGCTCCTCTCCTCTGTCTGTCAAAGAAAAAGGGGACGGGAGCAAAAATGTGACCGCAAACATGTCTTTGATCGTTTGGCGCGCGTTTAATATTGCAGTAGTGGAAAGCCATTTCTGCCTGAAAGGGCCGGCTGGCATGTCACCGGGCAGAGTGGAGTGGCCCGGGAAACTTTGGAGATAGATAAATAAATAAACATGCTCTCATTGGACGACAGAGCCATTCATCTGTGACCTTATCCCGCTGTCTATCACAATATCCTTGACTGACAGCTGGGTCACTGTACCAAACTTATCAAGGCAGCTGTCGGATTGCGACCGACAAACACGGCGACCGTCGCTCAGCATACTCCGCCGGCTTTATCACTGAATCGGCTAAACTTTATTGATTTGGCTGAAATATGTTGTATGAACACAGCGTGTTGTTGTGTCTTACGCAAACCAAAATACCATAATTAAAAAAACATTTGCGTATTTGTATCCGTACACATAACCAAAACAGTACATTTTACATTTACATTTTAGTCATTTAGCAGACGCGACTTAATGTCTCAGGTTCTTGACATTATTCCACTTGTTAAATTGACTGTCAGGGAACAGGCTTCTTTGTTTGATTCCTACAGATTTTCTAGAAATATACTAATACTTCTTCCTTCACTAAAGGTTATAATGACCATTCTGTTTGTGTCTGCTCTATCTCTTGCTAAAAGCTGTCTCCTCGCCCTCGTCATTCACCATGAAGACTAACACGCTCAGCACGTCCGTACCCAACTCCTACTACCCAGGTAAACTACCTCCCCTTCAAACTCCTTTTAACACCTTCTAATTCTACTACTGTCTGTGACCTCTTATGACCCTTGATCTCTGAATGACCCCTTGAACTTTGACCGTTTAACGAATGGCCAATGCCGATTCAGGCACCAGTGCCTGTATTTGTCCCGTGTAGCTCAGTTGGTAGAGCATGGCACTTGCAACGCCAGGGTTGTGGGTTCGATTCCCACGGGGGGCCAGTATGAAAAGATTTATGCACTCACTAACTGTAAGTCGCTCTGGATAAGAGCGTCTGCTAAATGACTAAAATTAAAAAATTTAAACGCTCTGCTTGACTTAACGGTGGCCTGCAAAACAATGTAATGATGCCTGTTCTCTTTTTGCCTGCAGTTTTAATTGCTCTGCAGCGTTTGCACTTCAGCATACTATTTCCTGCCCCTACTTGGGAGAACCATATTTAGCCATATTGGTAGATAGATTTGAATTGATAATGAAATTCGATGGATTTTGTTGGACATGATTTATATTAAACTGACTTAGTTATAATCTCTCATATTGTTAAATATGAGCTATTTATGCTGTTCTTCCATTGAGGGGTTTCTTTGCCTCTCTTGATGACTGTAATGCCAACTTACTGCTCTGCTATAATGTTGCTGTCTCACCTGAGGGGAGAGCACGTCACTGTATTCACTGCTATATTCTCTCTTCTTTGTTAACCCCCTACTCTGCACTGGTTTTGGGGTGTGGGCAGATCCCTTTGTGCCAACAGCTATCTTGGGTGAGAAAACATTATTTTATTTTTTCCTACAATACATTTCTTATGCTTACAGACCAACTAAGAGACAGACTACTCTAAAATAGACAAGGTGCTGTGCATTTGAGGGAAGGAGAGTCAGAGAGGGAGAGAGGGAGAGAGGGGAGAGAGAAAGAGTGTCAGATAGCGATTTGGACTGTTTTTTTTTTCCTGATAATGGCTTTCACACATTCATACCTGCCTGCTTTTCTTCTTTATGTCAGACCAGAAGGTTTTGTTTCTTTCTAATCAAGCTGAGGTTGGCTAATTCACTCCATCCCATCCGCATTCCGTGTCGTGCGTGTGACGTCACGTATGTCTATGACCTCTCATATGCATGGACAGACAATGTGGACTGGATGAGGGGGAGTGGCACAGCAAACAAACTAAAAACATGCATACAAACAGACAAAGTTGTTCCCATCACCATAGCAGAAAGTAGTTCCCATCGCCATAGCAGAAAGTAGTTCCCATCGCCATAGTAATGAATGTAGAGAAGTGGCAAACATTGGAAAGCTCCCGGGCAAAGCTAAGGAATTATACACTTTTGTCAATGTAACTATTGCCTAGCTGACCCTTATCAACTCCTTCAGAACAATAATTGTCAGTTCCAACCCGATAACTTTGTCTTGGTAGATTGTTTGTTGTGCAGGTACATTAGACAACATACACACACCACATGTAGACATTTGACAAAGACACATATCAACATACTGTAAAATGTGTCTTTTATACCAGATTTACACACTTTAGGGTAGTAGACAAAGATAAAAAGCACAACAGTGTCTCAAGCAAGCATGGCATGAGTGATTTTCTAGATGTTTCCTCAGGCAAGGCCCAATATTCACGTTCACCGTTTACAGTACCTCAGAAAAGGGCTAGCTAGTGGTTTCACTTGTTTTCTAGAGAGGTTTTCAAACGTGATCAGGAGATGTTTTACCACAGATGTAGGATCTTAATTTGATCACTCCTTTGTTGCTGAGAATTTTCCTGCACCGCAGGAAATGCAGATGAGCTTCGTGATTTACATAAATTAACTGAAAACCCACACTAACACACGGTTATATTAAGAGTATTGCACTTTTCATGTAGCCTACTTTTGGCCAGCTAATAGACTAACCACTGATCAAGCAACATTATGGACTAAAGGTTCAAATCCTGTTGCTGCAGGATTATTCTTGCTTTGACAATATAGGTCAAATGAACATCCTACACCTGTAGTTAAACTGATTTGGCAAATGACCCTTTTTTTTTATGTGTTCAGTAAACAAAATGGGTTGGTTCTTTATCATGTAATTATCAGCATTGATTACATTGAAATGGCCAATTATAGGTGATTCCAACCAAATTAACACAACCCCAACTAAAGTGTCCCAGATCTAGCTTTCTGTGAGGTGTCCAATTGAACTGAATAGTTGGTTAGATCAAGACTCCCGGAATGGCAAAAAATGTTGGTGCCTAGAAACATCTAGAGAAAATTAAAACTGTGCAGGTGCTCATGCCTAAACGTTATATTGTTGCTTATACCCTGTTTCCTTTCTCTTCTCCTTTTTTTTCTTCACATTTAACCTGTTATGTATCCTCTAATAAAGTGCCCATTAATGGTAAGTTGCCAGTCTGCCCTGTTTTCTCTGGGGTGAGGAGATGTGTGTGTGCGTCATGCTATTGAAAAGGGGCTTGCCTTGTCTTGGGGGCTGCTCTCCCATCTTGTTGCCACGCATGCACTTGTGTTAGCGCATCTCACGCCCCCCCCCCTCCCCCTGTGAAGCCATTAGCTAGCATGGCGGTCTGACTCCACCCGTGGACAGTGTTGCCTCATGCGTATGTGGACTATGTGACATACCCTCCCTACCCCCACAACCCCCTCCCCCTACTTTGTTGAATGGGGTTCTCACGCCTCTGACATTTTGTGTTACGGTTTCCCATTAGACATAGTTACCGACCAGGGTAGCCACTTCATTTGATCGTGCACCCACGTCATCCATCCACCGCCGCCATTCCATCATTTGTGCAACCTAATTTTGCCATTGGTCGAATTCTGTGGATAGAAAAGTTTCTACTGAGAACTTAGCCACAAGCTAGCGTTATCAGAACTGAGGGCTAGTCTAGCATCAATAGAAATAAAGCAATCTCTTTCCCCTCATCAGACAATGTAAATAGATATATTGGGCACCATCATGTCATCTATTGAAACATAATGTTATAATACAAGCTCCATTATTTTGTCTTCACCATGTTTTAAAGCACTGTAATAACTAGTTGAGCATAACGTAGTTTAAGTAACTCCTTTTCATTTCATGTTTTGTCATTGAATAACTTTATATTGTGACCTTGTATTCATCCATTAGAATGTCAACAGTGTTTCCTATCCTATGTCTGTACGGGGTTGTGCAGCACTCCAGTTCTGACCAGTGTGTGTGTTTGTGTACGTGTGTCCTCGTCCCTCCTCTCTGTTTCTAGATGAGAACCACACCATGACCAGTGACACCAGTAGTTTGGTCCAGTCCCACAGCCACTCCTATAAGAAGAAGAGGGAGGTGGCGGATGTGCCTCCCTACCAGACCGGTCAGCTCCACCCAGCCATCCGTGTGGCCGACCTGCTCCAGCACATCACCCAGATGAAGTGCGCTGAGGGCTACGGCTTCAAGGAGGAGTATGAGGTGAGAGCCCCAACTACCTGCCTGTCTGACTAGTGTAGTATCCCCCCTATCCTCTCTCACATGGCAGACAGTGTCCCCACAAACCACAATGTCCCCACAAACCACAATGTCCCCACAAACCACAATGTCCCCACAAACCACAATGTCCCCACAAACCACAATGTCCCCACAAACCACAATGTCCCCACATACCACAACATTCTCCTAAACAAAAATGTCCCCACATACCACAATGTCACAACATACCACAATGTCCTCACATACCACAATGTCCCCACATACCACAATGTCCCCACATATACCACGTCACCGGTCTGTCTGTCTTTGTAGACTCCCTCACTCGGAAGCACACGGGTCCCTGTTCGTCTTTCTTTTGTTTTGTTTTTTGTGTTTCTTTCTTGCTTTTAATGCTTGTCTTCTTTCCTGGTTTGTTGTTTTACTTCTCTTTTTCTTAAGTGTTTAGATTCATTGTTTGTTTGACATTTCTGCAAGGAGTTGCAATTTGGTCTCTTTGAATGAACTTCTCATTTGTGCAATTAGTGCACAAAATGCACTAGTTCTGTGTCCACACACTCCTCCCATACCGATGTTTGTGTCACCACTGAATTCCTCTGGCTTAGTGTTTGGGCTCCTGCAGTTTGTTGACTGCACGCCTCACTATATTTTTACATTTACGTCATTTAGCAGACGCTCTTATCCAGAGCGACTTAAAGTTAGTGAGTGCATACATAATTTTTTGGTCATACTGGCCCCCCGTGGGAATCGAACCCACAACCCTGGCGTTGCAAACGCCATGCTCTACCAACTGAGCTACATGGGGCTATATCTTACTGCCTCGTGGACACCATCCATTTAGTCTAGCAACGCTAAACCGCCCTGGTTCGAAAATGTGCCTTCTAAATCTTGAAAATCCTACACCACACACACACACTCTCAATAAACACACACACACACACTTAAGGGGGGATTTTCCGAGACTGTGTGTTAATGGCTGAGACCATTGCGAGCTGCCAGCTCTGCCTAGTGAACGAACTAGATGTGAACAGCGCTTCTCTCCAGAAGCTGTCTGATTCCCTCGCCACTCAGCACATAGTGTGTGATTCTACCTTTTCTACCTTTTCTACAGAGGGAATTTACCTGTAATGAACTATCCACCAACCCCCCTCCCATCTTATCCTTTACTTTGCTATACCCACTACTTACACAATAAATGACACAGGAATCAAATCAATAATTCAAGCTCCCATACCCGGTCCCTGTGGTTTGGGGCTACCCTCAGGGCTCAATTCATTATGGATATGGATGGAAGACTTTTAAGGCTACTAGTGCAATAATACAGTATTGCCAGTCTAAAAAATACAGAGTGCGGAATAATTGATGCCCTCCCTCTTCCACCTCTCCACCCCTCCATCTGAAAGTGCTTCACGTCACTGTTTTGTATTTTCTATCTTTCTATTGATTTTTTTTCGACCTTTCTATTTGCAACGCCGCTAAAGGTTAGAGACGGCGAGTCATTGTCACTTCGTTTTCTTTTCCTGCTACCACTGTCTTAGGTGTAAATGGTCTCTCTAGACATGACGAGCCGAGCACTAAACTAAACTGATCAATTCTAATCTCTCCCCCGATTCCATGCTTCTTGTTATTCCATAACTTTGTCTATGGGAAAGATAAATGAGGTAAGCAAGTCCCCTTTTTGGTTTGATTGTAAAATATGTTTTTAGATTGTTGCTTTGTCGTAGTATTATAGAAGCCCAAGTTGCAGCTAGCATACAACCTATAGCTCCTATCTTGGAGAGTTTGTTCCTACGATATTGCTCATCATTATTTCTTTGATACCTGCTGTTGGTTGTCTTGTGTCCATGCAAACATGCATTTAACAGCCCCCCTAAACCATTAAATACTAGAAAAACATCCACTTTTTTTCTGCTCCAAATGAATCCCCTGTGGCCAGTGAGAATCAAAGAGCGGTGAAATGAGTGCCGTTCAGTCGACACAACAGCACGTAGCAGAGGTCCCGTCTAATGGAAGTGTTTGTAGACAGAACACACTCCGCGTTCATCCCAGACACACAGTAAATGTGCCTCGTCGAGCTCAGGCCTGCCTCTTCTTCAAAGGCAAAAAAACATATTTGATTTGTTTTAATGATAATGCAGTCAGACGCCATTTGAAATCTTTAATCATGAAAGACTGTAACTGCTCCAGCTTGCCCTCTTGGTATGGTATGGTGCAATCAAAAACGAAATATTAAGACTTGCAGATCATATTTAGTTAAAACCAATTGAGTCCTTGAGATCAACTTACGTTGTACCTACATCTCCATTAATATGCAGCTTTTACTGTGATCGTTATTCATGAATGGCTCTTACTATTCCTCCCACATATCCACCTCCCTAACCACTACACAATCTTACTCTGTAACACTGTTCAACATCCAACTCTGTTTACCTTCCATGTCATCATAACACACTGTTTCTCTCCTCAGATTGGCTTCATACGGGCAGCATCTTCCAAGCATTATGTTAATGCCTGAAATATGCCTTTGTGTTTATGCCAGATTGTGCTGCCTACTGGTAAACACTTGAGAAAGCATTGTGTGGGGTAAAAACGCAGTGGAGCTGTTTTGGTGCTGAAGCTTTGTCTAAGCCCCTACCACCTCTGGTGCCTCTGAGGAGTGTTTTCAAAGTCTCTGTCCCCCTGTAGTCAGTAGCGTTGAGGGTGAAATCACAAGGGGGTTTTAGAATCATAAGGGGTTGGTGTTGCACCTGAGTGAGAGACTGAACATCAACAGCCATTCAGAAGCTCCTTTGAGCCGTGGGAACAATGGCTTCCACACTGTTTGTTCACTCGCTTGTTTTGGATAAGATTTGGGATAAGAGAGCACTTTTGTTTGGATTTGGGCCTGTGAGAGCAGACCATAGATCTCATCTCAGTAGGTCTACTTCCATGAAAATCACCTGTGTAGTGCTTTGAAAAAGTTTGAGAGGGGAAAAGTATGCAGGGCTTTGAATTAATTATTGGTTTTCCACCAATCACGTTAAGGCTTACTGGCAGGTGGTGGAAAAACCTGGCCAATGGAGAATTAGTATGATCGTGCCAATGGGGTTAGATGAAGCCTGGAGCTGCCTCCTAGCCATTTGACTTGTAATTCCCCCACAGATTGCTGCAAGGCTGCTATGGATGTTAATAATTCAATATTATACCTTTTATATTTAACTAGACCTTTTTTCATTAGCAGCCAATGTTTGGGTGATTATTAGGCTCAGAAAAAGCATGTTGTAGACTAAAATTTCTTAAAATGTTTTCTTAAAACCCAGTTTTGTATTTTCCCTTGATCTGCACATAGCATAGAAGTCTTGCAAACACAAGACATTGTTGCAAAATCAATTATTTCTCTAAACTAGCGAGCCAATATTACACCTGAACAAGAAAATAAAAAAAAACTATGAATAGTTGAACACCTGCCAGCAAGCGTTGGTGCATTTCACATCACATAATTATTTTTGGTGTTCTCTAACTCTCCCCAAACTATTTTGACAATGTGAAATGCTTTATTCTTGAAAGCTCTTTTTTTCTCTGACACCGCTCACCCCTGAAGTTTGACGCGTGTCTAAAGCAGTTTGCGGCAACGTTCTTCTCCCGCCTCTCCCCCACCGCGGGCCAGTGTCGGACCACGGATCTCATTATAACACAGTTGAGAAAGCGAGGGAGAGAGAGAGATGAGCGTAAAGAAAGGTGCTTGTCAGTCATTCTATCACTCCTCTCCTCCCCAGGTTGCCTCGCTGGCCATGGCACCTCCGTGTCACTTCCTGCACATGAAAAGACAGCTGTCTTGAAAGTCACACGGCAGCGATGAATAACAAACCAGCGCCACTTTGAAACTCAAAATCTAGAGAGGAGAAATGGAGAGAGAGAAAACCGAGGGAGAACACTAAGCGCCTGAAGTTGTCAATATGTGTTAAACTGTATTTAATGTCTCTTTACTGCATCCAATTCTGAGACATTCGAAGAGAGAAAAAGCAATCTGCATTAAAATACGGCCTGCCCTTCAAAGTGTCACTTGTCGTGGCGGTTTACAAGGCCTGCCACTGCACGTTTCTCCCCATACCCAATGTGGCTGGTAAAAGGTCATTTGATAATGCTAGTCTTTTAAGCTCGTTTCAAGGTGACGTCACAGCGTGTATACCCGATTCCCTTGTTCAAAGACGTCTTCAGGAAAATAAAAACTTGATTCTTCCTCTCTGATTTCTCCCTCATTTAGTCATGGCCATGTCAGCCTTGCCAAAGACTGATTGCTGTCATTGATGACTGTTAAGAAATTGCATATTTTCCCACTTTAGGCAGTCACAGAAAATACCACAAGTTCACAATTTTCATTTGATTTGGAGTGGAAGTACCATTTCCCTCTTTACGTCTGGCACTGTGTGGGGCGGGGGACGACGACGACGACATCAGTGAGAGTGAGGCTCCTCGCCATGGGGACCAGGCTGCTTGCCATTATCCACTCAGAGCACTGATCAAGGCTTCTTGTACTCGGAACGAGTTCCGTGTCATTTTATCATTGAGGGGAACAAGTGGGAGAGGGAGAGATATGATGGGAAGGGGGGAGCAAGCGGCTTCCCTGGCCAAAAGAGGCTCCACTGCAGGCAATCAGAGCTAATCAGATCAGTTGTCTGATGGGGCTGAGAGAGAGCGGTATCGGAAGGAACGTTGGATGGATACGGCTAAATAACAATGCATCATTATGATCTATTTATACATTCCTGACACTCTTTGGAGAGGAGATGGGGAAGAGGCAGCAGGCAGCTGGAGGAGACATTAACTTACAGGGGGAAGAGGCAGCAGGCAGCTGGAGGACACATTAACTTACAGGGGGAAGAGGCAGCTGGAGGAGACATTAATTTACAGGGGGAAGAGGCAGCAGGCAGCTGGAGGAGACATTAACTTACAGGGGGAAGAGGCAGCAGGCAGCTGGAGGAGACATTAACTTACAGGGGGAAGAGGAAGCAGGCAGCTGGAGGACACATTAACTTACAGGGGGAAGAGGCAGCAGGCAGCTGGTTGACACATTAACTTACAGGGGGAAGAGGCAGCAGGCAGCTGGAGGAGACATTAACTTACAGGGGGAAGAGGCAACAGGCAGCTGGAGGAGACATTAACGTACAGGGGGAAGAGGCAGCAGGCAGCTGGAGGAGACATTAACTTACAGTGGGAAGAGGCAGCAGGCAGCTGGAGGAGACATTAACTTACAGGGGGAAGAGGAAGCAGGCAGCTGGAGGTACAATTAACTTACTTGGGGAAGTGGCAGCTGGCAGCTGGAGGAGACATTAACTTACAGGGAGAAGAAGCAGCAGGCAGCTGGAGGACACATTAACTTACAGGGGGAAGAGGCAGCAGGCAGCTGGAGGTACAATTAACTTACTTGGGGAAGAGGCAGCAGGCAGCTGGAGGAGACATTAACTTACAGGGAGAAGAAGCAGCAGGCAGCTGGAGGACACATTCAGTTACAGGGGGAAGAGGCAGCAGGCAGCTGGTTGACACATTAACTTACAGGGGGAAGAGGCAGCAGGCAGCTGGTTGACACATTCAGTTACAGGGGGAAGAGGCAGCAGGCAGCTGGAGGACACATTCAGTTACAGGGGGAAGAGGCAGCAGGCAGCTGGAGGTACAATTAACTTACTTGGGGAAGAGGCAGCAGGCAGCTGGAGGAGACATGAACTTACAGGGAGAAGAAGCAGCAGGCAGCTGGAGGTACAATTAACTTACTTGGGGAAGAGGCAGCAGGCAGCTGGAGGAGACATTAACTTACAGGGAGAAGAAGCAGCAGGCAGCTGGAGGACACATTCAGTTACAGGGGGAAGAGGCAGCAGGCAGCTGGTTGACACATTAACTTACAGGGGGAAGAGGCAGCAGGCAGCTGGAGGTACAATTAACTTACTTGGGGAAGAGGCAGCAGGCAGCTGGAGGAGACATTAACTTACAGGGGGAAGAGGCAGCAGGCAGCTGGAGGAGACATTCACTTACAGGGGGAAGAAGCAGCAAGCAGCTGGAGGACACATTCAGTTACAGGGGGAAGAGGCAGCAGGCAGCTGGTTGACACATTAACTTACAGGGGGAAGAGGCAGCAGGCAGCTGGTTGACACATTAACTTACAGGGGGAAGAAGCAGCAGGTAGCTGGAGGACACATTCAGTTACAGGGGGAAGAGGCAGCTGGAGGTACAATTAACTTACTTGGGGAAGAGGCAGCAGGCAGCTGGAGGAGACATTAACTTACAGGGAGAAGAAGCAGCAGGCAGCTGGAGGACACATTCAGTTACAGGGGGAAGAGGCAGCAGGCAGCTGGTTGACACATTAACTTACAGGGGGAAGAGGCAGCAGGCAGCTGGAGGAGACATTAACTTACAGTGGGAAGAGGCAGCAGGCAGCTGGAGGGGACATTAACTTACATGGAGCAAGCAGCAGCACACAGTCTGGGTAGTGAACCAATAATCACCAGCACCACTCCAGCGCTGAAGTTTATTTTCATAATTAGTCCTAATTGCGTGTCCTGGCGCGAGATCAGAATGGCAAAAAACGAATATGATTAATATTTAATGAGGTGCTCTGCTCAGGCAGAGTAGGGTTTTGATCAGCCCAGTGGCTGTGTGTATGTGGTTGTTTTTATTCTATTTCATCTCATGTTATTTTTGGGGAAACTAGTCCTTCAGAGGAGTATGTTGGTAAAGTTTGTGCTGGACTGGTGTTCTATCTCGGTGAGGAAGATTCTAATTGGCTTACAGCGCCAGCATAATGGGCACCTTTTCTGAAACGGCTCCCAGAAGGCCGTTTTCCTGCCTCCTTTCATGTCTAGTAATGATGTGGATATATATCTCTATTTTTAATAATGTGTCCCCTCTTTTGACCCGAAAGGATCTGCCGCTGAACTGGGCTGTCATTAAAGGTGAAAAGTTGACCTCGAAATACCTAACATCGTGGTCTGGAGGGAGGTGGAGATAGGAAGTCGGGGAGTCGGAGAGGGAACTGTAGGATAGGCAGGGAAGATGGAGGAGTAGTGTGTCTCGATTAGTTGTCA